TTTGTGAAGAAAACATGTCACAATCATAGCCATGGACATGCTCATATGATTAGATTTCATTTATATTTCGTGTGCTTAGAGAATTTTATGTCTGAACATTGATGAAAAGTTAGGTCAGAAATTGGGGGAGGAGAAATTCTCCCTCATCTTAGAGAGTTAGGTCAAGTTCTTTACATGGTTGAAACCGTCTCTTAATGCTCTACACTTTTCATGTTATGAGTTTTGCTTGAAAGTCCAGGAATCCAGAGATAAAAAACGCGTGTTTGCTTGAAGGATATTGTTCAGAGGTTGAAGAAGATAGGTCTTCTGGACTGGGCCTGGAATTTTTTCTTATTTGCACCACTTCATTACTCATGTACCCCCCTTCCCATATTTGGTTTTGTAATAGCTTAGTAATTTAAATTTCGCACTTTATACGCTTTCTAATTATGCCATGTTAGAATTAGGGTTTGTATGCGAAAAAACGATAAAAAGTAGTTTGACCTAATACAAGATAAACAAGCATGAAAATGGACACGCAAATCACACTTGCACCCCCTAGGGTACTCCACTTGTTGCCTTCCAAAATTGGGCCATATTGTATGTTGAACTTCTTTGGGCAAAACAAACAAATTGAATGATCATAGTCCCTCGATAAAACTTTTCAAAACAAACAAAAATAAATGATCAAGTCCCTTAAAGAAAGTTGCCCAAAGACATTTAACGCCGTTGCAATTATGGTCTAAACGATGACTCGCGCCTGTCCCTTTCACATCCTAACATAAGGTTGCCCACCAAATACAATGGTGGAACAAACTTGTTAAAAGGGTTAAAACATAGCAATAATCTTTTGAGAAATTTAGGAGTAGATAACCTCTTAGTTACTTGAATCAAACTTGCAAAACAAAACACTTGCCTAATTTCAAAACCACACCTCACTACACTTTCAAAATCACTTTCAAAACAACTTTCAAAAACAAATGAAAACCTTTTCAAAAGACATACATCTTTGTATACATCCCCACATGGATCATTACAAAGGTTGCCACCACATTGGCCTCTTTTCAAAACATTTTCAAACCCACACACCCAAAGCACCATTTCAAACAATTGAAAACAAAAGGCAAGTGATCTAAGCAAGTAACTAAGAGCCCATGGATAACCATGGATAGAAAGGGTGCTAATACCTTCCCTTTCTATAATCTACTCCCCAAACCCAAGAAAACATCTCAAAAGGTTTTTGCTGTGCTTTTTAACCTTTCCTTAGGATAAAATAAAAAGTCGGTGGCGACTCTTGCTCAACCGAAACATTTGCGAATACAAACGCAAAACCTCAAGTCAGTTCTCCCACCGTATCACAACAGCATTTTGTACTTGTTTGATAGCTTGAATAACCTTTTGGACAGCTTTGGACAGTTTGAAACTGTAACTTTCAGTTTGCCTTTTTGATTTGGTTATGCCTAGTTCAGTTTGCCTTTTATCCTTGGTTTGGAATTTTGGATTTATGCAGTATGTTTGACAAACTTTGAATTTGTACAGTTTGTAAATTTGTGCATTTCATTCTTTAATTGCAAGACATTTCATCCCTCTTTGTGAACCAGGAGAAATCTCGTGATTTGCAGAGAGGGGGATAACTGATTCCGGCCAGTTACTTTTAATGATGAATTCATTTTTTATCTGTCTGCTCTTTAATTTCATTCCATCTGCTTTTGACTTTTCTTCTTTTTCTTTGTTTTTGCAGGTAAAGATAATTGAGCAAAGGAGCATTGGATAGAAGAATGAAGATTTAGGAAATTTAGGACATAGTTTTATTTCAATTTAAATTATTTGTAATAATATTAATGTAAATAACTGTAAATAAATTTACAGTATTTAAATAATATCTGTAACAAACGATTCAAAGTGAATAAACATCCTTTTTTTTATCAGTTAATTCCTTTTATTTCTTTTCAATTGTTTATTTAGTTATTTATAATTCTTAAATTATAATAACTGGAAATAAATCCCAACCACTTTAACTCAGAATAATAAATAATCAATAAACGTCCGTCGTTCCGAATAATCGAAGCATTGCACAGCTAAACAACAAATATCCACATGTCCTTTTTTCACTGATTAACTCCAAACACTGCAAATTCTCAATCAACAGCCTCAGTCCATATCCCAGAGTAAATTGAAAAGCACTGATAGAATTAATTCTTTCTGAGAAATATGCGCACAAAACCCTGATTCTTGATTAAATGTCAAAGAAGCGTCTGCCTGATCAAAACCTGAGCCAACCCAACTAAATCCTAGGCAATCTGCTTGAACTGCTTTAAAATCAATTAAAAAAACCCTAATTTTGTCTGACTGATAAGAAAAGTCTGTTTGACTGATTCTTACGCCAATCTGAAAAATCAGGAAAAGCCCGAAGCTGTGATTTCTTGTGGAAAAAGAGGAGGGCAAATTTTGGAGTACAACAATGTCTTGTTCACCTATGTGAAGTTTATCTTTTACGTTTATTATCATATGCATACCATGGCATCTTAGGGCCAAAAATAGGGTTTGTTTTATATTTAAGTATCTTCAATCACGTTAAAACGAAGATTTTAGCCTTCGTATCTCCGGATAGAAGAAACTTAAATAAGGACAACTGTTATACCCCAATTTTTGTCCCTAAGATCCCTCATCACATCATGTACATCTAATGCATATCATCGATTCCATGGTTACAGGATCAAAAGGCTCTTGGCATTTCGGTCCTTCCCTATGAATTGAGGTTGCTACCTTAATCAGAGTTGATTCAACTATTTCTCTCATCATTCTTGGTATGAAGTTAGGTTCTTGGAGTACAAACATTATGGACGTCTTCCTTGGCAAGATTCCTCAAGATACAAGGTCTTTCTTCATCAGAATTTTCTTCAAGGAACATGTGCTTTAAGATTTAACTTGTGTACTTAAGACTTTATTATATATTCACTAAGAATGTCATTGATCTAGGTTTTGTTCCTCCCACCATCTCAGGCCTTCTCCATCCATATGCACTCAAGGTCCAGTGATTTAGGGTTTCTTCTATGATTGTGCCTAAGCATTAATGTTGGTTATTCAACATATGATTCATTGTGCTAGGTTTTCTCCTTAAGGCTACATGATTATTATTCCTTCTTCATTACGAGTTTGTCATCATTTAACATGGTTAAGGAGTATTTAAGGCTTTCATACAGTCAAGATGTTCTTTGTTGTTGAGCTATGGAGCTGGAGGGTTACTTATTGAGTTTTTTATTCAATTTAAGATTAAGGTTCATTAAATCAGGGTGTGCATATTAAGATTACATGGGTTATGTTTCTTTCCACATTTCAAGTCCTATTTAAGGATCACTCAAAATTATTTGTTTTTTCAAGCGCATATTTTTCTTGTGTTACAAGTTTCCCTGAATTGAAGATTTGAATTACGTTCCTTGAGGGTGATATGAAGATTCACTCAAGAAATGTCATTGAATTTCAAGTTGATTCAAAGTTTATTCCATACCAATTCATGAGTATTCATCCATTTACAAGATTGTCCAAATGCATCATTCAAGTTTTCATAAAGATCTGAGGGAATTTGAAAAAAATCATTTGAACTTTTCTTGGAATTTTGAAGTGTGGAAACAAAAGATAAACTTCATTCAAGTTTGCTTTCAAAAGTTACAAGGTGGATTCATGTAGTTTTTCTCAACATACATCATTATGTAAGGTTTAAGATTCAAGTTCAAATGTCGTTCTTCATGATTTTCCAAGCTCAAGTGATTCAAAATCACAAAGTTTCATCAAGAATTATCCATGTATGATCAAGTCCATTCAAGATTCTATTACAAGTCCAAGCAAGTTTACCATGATTCATTACACAAAGTCAAGTTATTTCACTACCAAGTTACAAGAAAGTTGCAAGAGATACATAAAAATTCTTAAAGTCTTTTTCCTAATTTTCACAATTTCCACCCTTTGAAACATTTCTTTTCATTCAAAATTCCCTCTGCATCATTATTGGAACTTATTCAAAACAACAGCCTGAACCTTGCTTCGATGCTCAACAAAATATCATTTTGTCAAAAGTTTTCACATAAAGGCATTGTTTTGGCTTGCTACAATCCATCCGAACACCTTGAATCATGCCCTGTTGCAACTTTTTCAATTAGTTCAAGAAATTCTAAGAAATAACAGTTCAAAATCAAACTCAAATGGAAAACCAGTTTAGCATAAAATAGAAAACTCCAATCTCATTTCAATTCTGACTAGAAACTAACCAAAAAACAGTTACAACAAAATTTGACAGCTCATCTTAACTACCTTAAACCATCTCAACTAACTTGCAACTAACTGCTAACAGAAATCTCGCTGGCAGTTATTAATAGAACTAACAGAATTTAACAGCTCTAACTAAAAAATCTACACCATTGATCTCTAAACCGATTCCCATGATCTGGTGACCCAAATGGATTGATTCATAACTGAATTCACAGAGCCCCTATATAACAGAAATTCAGAGATTTACAAAAGGGAGGATTCATTTTCCATGATTCATAGAAAATCACAAAGACTCACCTCTGAGATTCTCTCTTCCATGCTTGAATTATCATCTTCATCTTCATCATTCTCTAACTTCTAGGTGAATCACCATAACCACCTTCACGCTTCATGTATAGCACCATCACCGCAACATCAGAATTTCGCACTCATTTCATGATTGTGCTTCATTCATCTCTCGAGGCCTCAACGATCTGTAACTGCTTCACTCCACATCTGCTATCAAGTTCTTCAACCTGCAATGACAAAAACGTCATCATCATCATCCTAATCGCGTTACACATGAATCAACGACAACTACAAAAATCGTCGAAGGCCGCATAAAATGTGGAAACACAGAAACACGACGGGACGAAGAGAAATGGAATTCCCAGCGACGATGTATACCTGAATTTCGTTCATGGAGCTTCCGTCGGATTCCTCATTCTCGTCATTCTCAAAGAAGTCGTCGGAGCTACTCCGGTAGGTAAATGTTACTATCTCGTCTTCTCCACCATTTCTTCATTTTCTATTGCACCTTCTTGTAGAGTATAGTCTTCAGGTGAGAGATTCGATGTAGTTTGTTGTGGAGATTTTTGTTGTTTGTTACGGATTTTGATCTGAGAAATTAGAGATAGGAGTAGAGGTGAACGAGATGGAGAGGAGAAAGAAGGAAACGAATTAAGGTTGTGTGTGGTTGTTAGAAACATAGATGACGGAGGCGAGGAGGCGAGGAGGGAGAATCGTCGCGGCGATATCGGTGGATAGTGGAGAAGAAGGCGCCGCGGGTGAGATGATGGAGAAGGAGAGAGTTGTGTTCAAGAATTCCAAGGGTCACACCCAACCCTAATTTCACGAATACTCCCTTTTTCAATATCTTGTTTGTTTCTTTTTATTGTTTTTTTTTTAAACTGAAAATTGAGATGACAGTATATAACTAAAAAAAGAAAACAATTGGACTTAATATTGCTGTGTTGATTCTAGGCCGAACCACCCCCTGTTTAGGCCATTGCTTCATTTTTCGAAGTCTGCTTTTACTTGCGAAAAAACTGGTTGGACTTCATTGTTGATGGGCCTAGTGCCCTACTGCTACCACGCCCTCTGGATTCTGCTTCAACCCCCCTCATTAACTCCTTTAATTTCTTGTTTTGTTTTAGTTTTTTTCTTCTGTTTAATTTTCTTCCAACTTTCTTAATAAAATTTAGTGATAAAAAAATTACTAAATCAATGAAAATTTGTTAGTTTTTTTTTATTTGATTTTAGAAATTAATTCATGAATATTCGATTACTTGGAGACTTGTGATTCATTTTTGCTTGTCGATATTTGAGTTCTATGCATGTTTAGTGTGTGATATGCGGATATGCTTGAGTTTTTTATTGAGATTTATTTTCATATCGATGATGTCTCGACACTTATTACGAGCATTCGATCTCTGACTGTCTGTTTGTTGATGCTAGCTCGCACGAAGTATTCTGGATTTCTTTGCTTTATTTGTGCTCTTTGTGGACATTATTGTTCGCTTGGTATTACACTGCTTCCAATTTATCTTTCCGTATTTTATTGCTTTCTAGATATCATGAGAAGTAGGAAATAAAGAGTGTGCGCTCAAAGTCGTTGTTTAAAGACCTGTAGCAAGCATTCCACAATTGTTTTCTAATTGTGTTTGTGTTTGATTTCGTGGGTTGATGATCAATGATGTCACTCAATTAGGATTGAGATAACAACTTCGATCTTTGCATGATCCCCTTAGGATTTTCATTTTCCTTTGTTGATAATCAATGATGTCACTTAACTAGAATTGAGATAACGACTTCGATCTTTGCATGCTCCCTTTAGGATTTTCAATTTTCTTTGTTGATGATCGATGATGTCACTCAATTAGAATTGAGATAACCACTTCAATATTTGCACGTTCCCTTAGGGTCGCTCGATTAGGGTAGCTTTCGAGCTAGACATTAGGACAGTTACCCATGCATGCTAACATATGGTAGAAATTTCCCTTTCCATTCTTGACATATGGTCATCATTGTATGGTAACACTAGGTTAGAGATAGGTTAGTCTCCCTTAGGTGTTTTTCTTCACATTTTGCATAATTTTATTTAAAACTAAATTTCTTTTCTTGGAAAATGTATAAAACATGCTAAACATACAAAAATCCTTTTCATGGTAAAAAACATCAACTAATTCATTTTTTTCGCCATTCGTCTTTTCTCTTCTAAGAACGTGTTGATTCCTTTCCACTACGGTGCGTGAGTCTTCAATGGTCGAGTGGCAGTGGAATGATTGAATTCTACATTGTTCATTTAAAAATACAAACAAACGGAAATTTGTGAGCCAAACTACGATGTTCTGATTCCTTAAAAGGGATACGTAGGCATAGGTCACGGGGCTCAGCCGAGCGAAAATTTGTAAATATTTCCTTCTTTTCCCCGTGTTTTCTTTTCATGCATTCCCTCGTAGAATTTTTTTTTTTTATATCTTAAGCATTATATTGAACACACCCTTTGATTAGAATAACAAGAGTGGATCCCATAGAGTACTACGGACGTGAGTGGTGCTAATAGTTTCCTCTCACGTAATCGACTCTCGTACCCGATCTCTCGGTCGCAGGACCTTGATTTCTAACTTTAGGTTTTTCTTTGATGATTTTACTTTTCCTTTATTTGCGATAAATCAATACTTGGTGGCGACTTCATTGATTTTACCGCTACAAGGTGCAAGTTACATTGAGAATATGAGGGGTAGTTTTAGAATTGCATTATAGAAGAATAATTGGAGTAACTATTTGGACAGTCTGTCAACTATATTATTTTACCTAGTGGAGTGTGTAATCTCAAAAGAATTATTTTCAATGGTATGGTAAATGTCATTTCAAATGTTGTAACTTTTTTTTCAAGCAGTCAAAGCTGGGAAAGAGAGAAAGTTTAACAAGAATGTGTCTCTCTCTTATATGGTGAGTGGTTCAATATTACTAAAGAAGATTCATCTCCTTCCAAGAACACTTTAATTGACTGAAAGTTTCGTTACAAGTAATGTTTCGTTGCAAACTAGGTAACTCTCCTAGTATTTAAAGGCCTTACTACCTCACTATCCTCACAAGTTGCATTTCAACATGAGCAAATATTTCATATTTGTTTAGCAAAGAAGACTCTTCTACTACAAACTAAGAATAAAGTGGGTTCTGGTTTAATGAAAGTAGAGTCCAACACAATAACAAATGTTGGAGCATTTACTGGAACATCCAGGACAAGGAAAATACCTAGAATGAAGGTGACGTCCCTCAAGAAAAACTATGTGCATATACATGATTCAAACTCAAAGGCTGATGAAGATTGAGTCAATTTCATTGACTCATGAGATTGTGTAGGATAAATGTTATATGCTATCTACTTTTAACAACAAAAAAGTGTGTTTTTTCTTCTTTTTTTTTCTGTTTTTTTTATTGTCTTTTTTCTTTGTACCCTTAGTTTGTATCTCTTTAGGTAAGTTTTTTTGAGTCAGTATTATTTTTGAGTCATTTGTCTTTTAAAACCCTTAGTTTGTGTCTCTTTGGGTGAGTCATTTTTTTGTTTTATTTTTTTTATTTTTTTTTTATTTTGAGTCAATTTGGTGCTTCTTGTCCTGATCAAGGTATATAGTCTTTCTTGTTTGTCTTGAATCAGTTCTTGCTTGTTTTGATTCTTTTGTGTCAATTTCTTTTCACTCTGATTTTATCAATTTTTGGATAAAAAAAGGAGATAAAAATATTAGTGTGAGTCTGTAGGTCTAGTTCTCTTACAGTGTTGTTTGCTTTATGTAACACTTTAGAAGGAGCATAATTGTCCATCATGTGAGTTTTGAGTCTTTCTTGTTTATGCATTATGTGTTTGCAGGATGTTCTGTAGGATGTTATAACATCTTGTCTGTTGTGTCTTGTGTTCTGAATTATGAGTATTTTTGTGTCTTGGGCTCTGAATTATGTATGTATCTTCTGTTGCATGTCCTTTGAATGTGTTGTATTCTTGAGGGGGAGATTTATCTCTCTGTGGCAAGAACTGATTATGTGTTTGAGGGGGAGTAATATTCATCTTCTTTCTCATGTATAAAGTTTACATGTTTAGTATGTAGCTTATGTTTGTGCAACTGTTGTATCTTTTATACATGTTCTGTGCATTTTGATTTGTGGTTTTATTCCTCTATAGTTCTATTCCTTTTCATGTTATTCCTCTCTCCGTGTTAATTGGACTTTCGGTTATTTTAGCCAAAATTTGTCAATGGGAGAGATTGTTAGTTCCGTGGTTTTAGGATTGGCATAATTTTGCTAAAACATGGTTCTATACTGATGTTGATCAAGATGGTGCGACATTTGTATCAACTATCATAACAATTTTGTTGTTATGTGTTTTTCAGCCAGATGTCGAAGTAGATGTCATGACATCTTAGTCTGGTACAACAGGCCATACTATTTTAAATCTTGACATATTTGATTTATTTATGTGATATTTATTTAGGATATATCTCAGTAAATTTCACAGGTCAAGAAAATTTAATTTGGAACAAGTTTTATATCTCCAGTTGTACATTTGTTACTAAATTGGGTCTTGAGAAAATTTAGGAAACTTTGTATAGGTTATTCCAAGACTTAAGGAGATTTTGCTGCACAATTGGTGCATCACTCTGCTTATGGATCAAGAAATATCTGGATGTAGATTTTGAAGCACATGGACTGCAGAGGTTAACCTAATGTAATTACTTATTTTCAACAATTGTAAAATTACGGGGAAGAAAAATATAGTCTTAGGTTTTAAGAGTCTCTTATGTATTATGTGGTGTAAGTCACCATTGTATCTTTTGATACTTGTGGTCGACATTATTTTCTCACTCATAAGCCTTTAGGCAATGAGTTGAGTATTGTTCTTGGATGAAGCTTTTAAGCAAATCCAAGTATTATTCTTAGTCAAGAGTCTTGGCTAAGTATTATAATGGAAGTATGATCTTCTTTTTTAGTTATTCTTGATACAGTCGTTGGGGTTGGGACTGTTAAATATCACTAAGGTGATTTAGGAAGTGAGATGACAATTTCTCATATTTAGGAGGTTCCTAGATAGAAGTTGAATTGGGTAGGGATTAGGAGAGAAGTTGTAAATTGGGATTGTTTAGGCTTTGAACTATTACTGCTAATAGTGGACTTCCTTCCTAGATTGGTAGCTCCCTGATGTAGGTGATGTTGCACTGAACTGGGTTAACAACTTTATGTGTTATTTATCATTCTGTAGTTTAAGTTTAAGTGTATGTTATAACTTGATAAATTTATTCAATATGTCAACAAATGTTGTGACATCTGCAGTGACATTATTGTAATGTTGAGACATCAGTATTAACATGTGTTGCCTGTACCAGGATTTCAAGCATAAATAAGAAACTTGAAATTCAAAAGAGGTTAGATAATAACTTCTTGGGCATGAAAGTATAAAAGTGCTTGATAGTCCCTCTTTGACAATATTGTGTTGGCCAAACAAATTTCCTCTTCGCGGTTAAAAATTAACTTTGATAAGAATTGGCTAAAGCTAAATTGTTTAGTCGCCAAATTTGGCTGATAACTCATGTGCCCTCGACTAGCTTTCCCCATCGAAATTATGGTCGAAAGAACAATAGGTTTGAAGAAAGCTACCCAAACATCAAGAGATTCAGAATGGTGTTTGTAACGCCCGTTAACTTAATTAATTATT